GCCAGCGACACTCATCATCCCGCTCAGCCCCACAAGGGACCCCCGGCTGGACCGGGGTCTCTTCCCGCTCGGTTTTGTCGGCCTCTGGCTCAGGGAGGCCCGACATTAATCCATTTGAAACTATACAATTTAATCTTTTTTGAGTATATTCTCAGAGTTGTACAAGCATCACAATTTTAGAAACTTTTCATCATTCTATAAGAACCTTTTCTATCATAGCTCCCATTTCTCTCCTTCCTTAACCTCCAGGCAAACAGAAATCTTTTGGTCTTTATATATTTGCCTTTTGTAGACATTTCGTATAAATGAAATCATGCAGTCTTTTGAGAACAGCTTCTTTCACATGGCATGATAATTCAAGGTTCATCTGTGTTGTGGCACATATTCCATTTCATTGCTGAATTATACTCCCTTGTAAGGATGTACTACATTATATGTATCTATTCATCAGGTGAAGGACATTGGGTTGCCTCCACTTTTGAGTTATTATAGGTAATACTGCTGTGATTATTCACCTATATCTTTTTTTTTTTTTTTTTTTTTTTTTTTGTCCTTTTTGAGAACAGCCGCATCACGCTCAGCCAGTGAGCGCCCCGGCCATCCCTATATAGGATCCGAACCCGCAGCGGGAGCGCTGCTGCGCTCCCAGCGCTGCACTCTCCTGAGTGCGCGACGGGCTCGGCCGTGTATACAGGTTTTTATTTCTCTTGGATGTGTACTGAGGAGATGAATTGTTGGGCAATGAGTAACTACACTTTGAAGAACTATCAGACTGTTTTATCCAGGGCTGTACCATGGCACATAACCATGAGAAATATAAGAAGGTTCCAATTTCTCCATGTCCTGGCTAACACTTATTTCCTGTCTTTTTCATTTTCGCCATCCTAGTGCTATGAAGTGATGTTATTATTTACATTTGTATTTCCTAATGACTAGTGATGTTGAGCCTCTTTTCATGTGCTTGTTGGCCAATTGATGCATTCTTTTGGGAAATGTCTGTTCAAATTCTTTGTCTTTTTTAGTACTGGATTGTTTCTCTTTATTGTTGAGTTTTAAGTGTTCTTTATATACTCTGTATGCAAGTGCCTTATCACAAATATGACTTGTAAATAATTTCTCCATTCCATGTGTTCGTTCACTTTTGATAGTATCCTTTGGCCTATAAAAGTACTTAATGTTCATGAGTGTCCTTTGAAGTACAAAAGTTTTTAATTTTCATGAAGTCCAATTTATGTATTTTTTCTTTGGTTGCAAAGTGCTTTTGGTATCACATCTAAGAAACCATGGCCAAATCCAATGTTATGAAGTATTTCCCCTATTTTTCATCTTAGAATTTTAGTTTTAGGACTTATGTGTACATCTTTGATCCATTTTGAGGAATTTTTATATATGGTGTAAGGTAACAATCCAAATTCATTTTTTTGCATGTGGATATCCAGTTGTCCCAGCACCATTTTTTGAAAATATTCTTTTCTTTTCCTCATTAAATTCTACTTGTACCCTTTATGGAAATCAATTGGCCATGTATGTATGAGGCCTTCTTTCTGGACTCTCAATTCTATTTCATTAATCAGTGTACCTAGTACGTGGTTTTATTTGCCATAATGATAAGTTTCAAAATTCTGAAGTGTGAGTCCTTCAACTATATACCTCCTTCTCAAGATTGTTTTTGTTATTTCCTGTTCCTCCATTTTCTATTATTGTTAGAAGTAGCTTGGCCATTTCAGCCAACAAGCCAGCTGGGATTTTGATAGGCATTGTATTTACACTACAGAGCAATTTGCAGAGTATTGCCATGTCAACAATATTAAGTTTTATAATCTAGAACAATTTTTTCTCCAGATCTTCTTTATCAATAATGTTTTGTGGTTTTTAGTATGCAAATTTTACACATCTTTTGTTAAATATACTTTTAAGTATTTTACTCTTTTAAATGTTATTATAAATGGAATTGCTAATTATATTTTTGGAATCTGCAACGCTAGTATATAGAAATAAAATTGGTTTTC